CGAAATATTTATGTAAGCACATTTGATGGCATTTGTGAGATACATTTTCCAACGAAATTGGTGTTAACATTTTCATTGTCCTGTTGACTTTGTTTTGTTGTTGTGGCCCGCTTTGCAGCGATTTCATCCGACAAAAAGCAGAAAACGGCAACAATGTGAAGCGAACAATAACAATAACAAAAACAGCGACAAAAGCAACAAAATTCAATTCGAGCATCCTTGTTGCTGTGATGGCGCAGCGAATTTAGCAAAATTTCGGTAGCCGAAAATAAATTTCAGCTACGAGTGCTCTCCATCCAGTAAACAAAATGAGCAGCTAAAGTTAAACGAAAATTGCTACACACAATAGATTCCAGTCAACAGAGTTTTCACATTAGAAAAAAGCTGCAAAAAACAAATGCAAATCAAACAGAAAGCATATTGAAAACAAAAACACAACAATATTGGTAAAATCAGCAAAAAACAACAACAGCAAAAACTAAGCAAGAACGTTAAATGCCAACGTAGTAGTAACACTGTGGCGACACTGGAAGCTGCGCTGTTAGCAGCTACGCAAACGTCAATGCTTATGTTGACAGTAAACTGTTAAAAAAAATTTGTATAACAGAACTGAATAAAAAAATTTAATGGAATTAATAAAAAAAGGCAGAGAGTAACGAAATGTTAAAAGTGAAAATGTACGACGCCCCACAAACTTTGTATGTGCACAGTTTTAATTCAACAAAACAGAAAAGTATAGTGCAAAAAATTAATAAAAACTATTGAAATCAATATAATATTAATTTATAACAAATATTTATTTCACTTTAGTTTAAAATAACAATAAATAAAAAAAATATTACTGAAAAGTCTACACAATATGGGCTCAAAGCTGCTAAAAAGTTTGAGTGAATTAAAATTACAAAAACAAAATAAAAAGTTACAAAAAATGTAAGAAATTAACATTATTGATAACATGTATAAAAAAATATTATTATAAACGAAATTACTTAACAAGATGCTTCCAAATAAATTAACAGTAATCTAGCGTAAAATATTACTAAAAGCAAAATTTTACAGAACACAATATACATATTTTAAAAAATTATTAAAAAAGTTTATATTTTCTTAATAACATAAAGAAAGCTACAGTGAAAATAAATAATTTAAAAAAAAAATTTACTGTATATATCAAAGCCACCATTTAAGAAAAAAAATATAATTTTTGTGAAGTGCGCAATGTATTTGTTAAAAATATCTGTTTCCCACACATATAATTTCCAAAAGGACATATTATGTTAATTTCGCGTCCAAAAACCATCTGTAAAAATTTAATTCGCATTTTTAATTTTCAAAAAATTAAAACTTAAGTTGTAAAAATTGTAATGATACAATAATATACACCAATATTTTAAATAAAAGCAGTAATATATAAAACACTTAAGTGATTATGGCAGCATGTCAAGCACCGATGGAAAAAGCTTTTCAAAATAAAATGATTTAACAGAAAAATGTATTGTTTATGTCTATATAATAATATCAATTTTATGAATACTCATAATATAGTCGACCGAAACGATACTTCTGCTATATTAGTCCCATCTTACTGAATATAACTATTCATAATAGTCCATCTCCTAAATTAATTGGAGATGAACTTTTTTAATAATTTATTAATAATTAATAATAAAAATAATTTATTAATTATAAAAATATATTTCTTAGTTTCTTAGTCTAATTCTCTCCTTACACTTATTGTAAGGATAATATTAGTTAATGTTGTATTTTTTTTATTTTTCTATTATTTTAACTATAGGTGCTTGGTTAATATTACATATTACATATATATTAATAACAATCAGTATTATTTTTTTTGTTCATACTCCAATTTTAAGATTCTATTAACAGATTTTTCGCGTTTTTCGAGGTGTTTTTGGTGTAGTCTCACCTTTTTTACAGTAATGAAGCATCACATAGTATATTTCTTCAGATTTATTTTCCAATCAAAATAGCTTTTTACTCAAGCGTTGAACTACTATAAAGTAGACTGAAATGTTATATATCAAATATGTGGTTATCGATATGATTAGAACATTTTTTCCATGAAAATTCATTACATACTTTAAGATTTGTTTCATTACCATAAGACAGCTCCACAATATCCTAAGAAAATCCCGATCCTGAAAATCCATTATTTTGACTGATATCCAGAATGCGGTTATTATTTTAAATTTAGTTTTTTTTTCTTGGAATACTAAGAAGTCTGGTTTGCTTAATTTGGTCATAATGCAATTGTAAAGTAAATTTAAACAGCATATTGCCGTATTATCTGTCCCAATGTCTTAGTTGCCGATGTTGATAGCTAAAATTGAACTATCAAATGGTAGAATACGTTCAGAGAAAACAAAATGAATTCAGTTGTTTGTTGTTACCAAAACAAAATGAATTCAGTATTTAAGAAAATCAATTTTCTGTAAATCAAAATGTAAATCAAAAGTAAGATTTTTAAAAATTTTTAAGCTTCTTTTAATTATTTTAAATACTATCTGCTACGTTGTTTTAACTTGTTTTTCATTAAATACCTAATATATTACAAGCAAATTAAAAATCTATAAGTTCTTCATATTGATATAGGTACTAAGAAAAATTTCACTAAATTTTAAAAAGATTACAAGCTTCGGGCTCTTCCTGAACTCTCTCCTACACACAAATTACTGAGTTTATGGCAATTTTTTATTAAAATAGCAGAATTCTTTGAGTTTTTTCTTGGAATTTGTTCTTTTTTTTTTTTGGAAAACTGCTATTGTACACATGCTTCATTGCACAATTCAATTATTTCCGAAAATTTCTTTGGCCTTCAGCATAAAATGTGCACTTACATGCTTGTTTCTAGCACTATTAAGTGCACTAAAAAAAATATTAAACATGAAATTTATATCCTTTGACATTTTGCAAGTTTATTAAAAAAAGTAAATAAATGTAAATAAAACTAAAATAACACATACCAAATTGTTGATGTGCTCTTAGAGTTGAGCGCTCAACGCTCAATGTCACAGATACATTTGCACAGACGATAAAATTTGTTACAGTGAGAAACATGCAAAGCACAAAAATTCATTTTACTTTCAATTTTTAACACAAAAAGGATAACAATAGCACAAATATAATACAAAGTCCTTAAACTTTTTTCCTAATGAAACAGAGTGTTTTTTGTAATAATCATTTTTTTCTTGGCTTACGGCGAAATGTGGTAACTCATCATTGTTTCTGCTGATATTTACATTTATGCCTATGTTTTGAAATTATTACGGTCTTAATTTAAAAAATAAATAGAAAATACTATTTATTTATATAAATACAACACATAATAACAGACAGTATTAAAGCAATATGAAAAATCAAACAAAAGATGGTTTAAAACTATCTTAACCATAGTTCTCAATATAACATGCGTTCTTTAACTTTCCTAATGATGGATCA